ACTCCGAGTAGGCCGTCGGCAGACCGAGGGAGTTGGCGTACCAGGAAGACCAGGCAGGATGGAAGAAAGGGTTCAGCCGATCGTACATAAAGGGTTTCACGTTGTGGTTACCGGTAGCCGCCACTTCGGCATAATTTAAGGACGGATATAATTTGGGATCACAAAAGGCGGAGCTCTTGTCTCGACGATCCTGTTGTTCCACGCCAACAGGAGGGGCAGGAGGAGCTACAACCTTCTTTTCAGCGGCTTCTGCTTGCGCCAAAAAGGCCGCCTGCTTGTCGGCAGCAAAGTCACCGCCATAGCAATCATTGTAGAGCATTTCTAGGTGCCCCAAGTTTTCACCGTAGGACAGGCGTAGGTTTGGACGTGCGCTTTGTGGGACTGACGACGCGTACTGGGGAGCACTTGGTAACGGAGCAGAGGCGGGATTGGTAGTCAAGTGTTCCGTGCTTGTACCGATTCTCCTCTGCGCCTCATTGAATAAATTTCGCAAGACGCGGTTGATGGAGGAGACCTTGAAGTGGAGAACGAGAGAGAGGCTACAGGCTAGACATTCAATAGGAAGAAAATAAGGCTTGCCTACTGATAATGCATATGAATTTGTTTTACTACTTCTGCGTGGGCCTATTCGGTGGGTTCTAACAAATTGAGTGTACATTTTTATCTGATACCCACGTATAGCTCTCAGCTATGTGCCCCGTTCAGTACGGCTGCCTGTCCGTGGGAAGATCAGTGTAAAAGGATGACTTCCTGAAGATTTAAATAAGGTCTTTTTCGAGAGGGGCGACTATAATCCGAGCACATCTGTGAAGAACTGACATCTTGCACACGAATACTTACATGTTAACTTAATGTGTTAATTATTCCGTATTAAGGTCCTTACGTTTTTTGGAATCGAGGCAGTGAATGCCTGCTGGTATGCTTCCCCCCCTACCCCCATCCCAGTAGATTTTGTCATCGTTCTATACGCTGATTTAATATAGTGTCCTTTAGTTGATCATTGCTTACACTTAACTACGATCCTTGCTGTTATATAATGGCATTCTATGAAATTCAATCTACTGTATGCCTCTGTCCGTTATTTGACTCACACAACGACAGGACGCAGTTGAAAATCCCTCGCGAAGTTTATTGAATTCAATAAATCCTGCTGTCTACACTTGCTTTAGATTCGTATCGGGGAAAAGGTGCTTCAAATTTCTAATGTGTTAATACAGTGACTTTTGGTGTCCCCGAGGGAGAAAGGAGTATACTCTTGAAGAGAAACGATGCTGGTAAAAACAAGTGCAGTGGGAAATTTGGTTCGCTGTTTGAAAATCAGTAATAAAAGGATACTGGACCGCCCGTAGTATAGGTGGCCTAGCGCAAAATTTCAGGAGGGCAACGCTAGGGAGTTTTACCTAGCAAAACTCGAGACAGAGTTTGTCAGAGTGGTTAATTTGGCCTTGACTTGACGAATATTTACCACGAGTTAGCGTGTTAGATGTGTATTTAACCCGGAATTGGGCTTCATGATCAGTTAAGCCAACAGATATGGCACCAGCCGCCAGCAACTGGAACCCTTACTGGGGAGATTGCGTTGTAAAATGCTTTTCCTAACTGCCCTCTCCCTTTAGATGGACTGTCATACTCTCTGGATGAAAGTCAAAAGAAGCAATGATAATAACGATATCCAATCTCTTTTCGTTCAGCTTCTGTTAAATTAAGTGTACGCCTATTCGAGGTTTTTTGGTTTGGTAAGGAGGACATGACACCAGGATGCGTCGAACTCCAGGAGGGATAGGGTTAAGTTCGTGGTAGGGTGGGGGTTAACTTTGAGATTAGGTTTAATTTTAGGGTTAGGACTGGCGTTAAGGTAAGTTGCGGTTAAAGTTGGTGTTAAATGTAGTTTAAGGGTTTAGGGTAGGGTTAGGATAAGGGCTGTAGTTTAGGCTTACATTAAGGCTAGTGTGAGGGTTACGACAGGAGGATACTTAACCTTCCTGGAATCATATGCATGGTCGGCTTTATTATTCGCGCGAGACGTCCCTATTATAGTATTTCATTTAAGGCGTCATTTAAGTAATCCTTATCTTCGGTTTTTCAAAAAAATGGTCTGTGTAAGTCAATGCTGCCTATTTTGTTTACTGAAGTTAGGTAAAAATTTTAATTGTGCCTCTTGTCTCATGTTTTAAGGGACCTTGTTGATTTGTTCTGATATTCCATTCATTATTTCATTAATTTCAGCGGACACTTCATTTCTCAGGAAAAGCAAACCAGTGTATATTCAGGCAAAACGAAATCGCGGCATGTCTTGTAAGTAGCGTATGAGCCCGTACACCTAACGGGTAGATTTAAAGGCAATATGAAACAGAGCTGTCGCAAAATGCTTTGTCAGTAGTCAAGGGGGAGGGGGGACTCGTGAAGGTCGCCCCATCCCCAGTAG